ATATGTTTAGTTTTTATATTACTGATTTTGGTTTATGTAGGCCAGTATCACAAGACTCAAATTCTAAAGAACTTTTTGGTGTACTTCCGTATATTGCCTAGAAGTACTATACACAAACGGAAAGGAATACACTCAAAAATCAGATATTACTCTTTCAGAACAAGTTTTTATTGGATATTTTCCATATCATGATATTCCACACAATGAAGATCCAGCAACATGATTACAGGCCTACAATTAAATGCGAAGTTCCTCAATTACTTTTGGATCTGATAAATAAATGCTTAGACGCAAAACCTCGAAACAGACCAACTGTTGAAGAACTAGCTAATATGTTGGGAACCCAGAAGATGGTAATTACAGGATGGTTATGGAGTATACAAAACAGGGAAGTCTAAGAAAATTATTAAATAGTAAATATGGTAAATTAGATTGGGCTTCTATAGTTAATCAAAATATATTTAGTTCTTACATTACTGATTTTGGTTTATATAGGCCAGTATCACAAGACTCAAATTCTAAAGAACTTTTTGGTGTACTTCCGTATATTGCCCAGAAGTACTATACACAAACGGAAAGGAATACACTCAAAAATCAGGTATTTGTTCTTTCTGAATAATTATGTCGGAAGTTTTTACTGGGTATCTTCCATATAATGATATTCCACACAATGAAGATCTAACAACACGTATTTGTCTAGATTACAGGCCTACAGAAGTTTCTAAATTAATTTGAAACTGATGAATAAATGCTTAGACGCAAAACCTCAAAATAAACTAACTGCTGAAGAACTAGCTAATACGTTGAGAACCCAGAAGATAGTAACTACAGGATGTTTATAGAGTATGCAAAACAGAGAAGTCTCAAAAAATTATTAGATAGTAAATATGGTAAATTAGATTGGGCTTCTATAGTTGATCAAAATATGTTTAATCTTTATATTACTGATTTTGGTTTTTGTAGACCAGTATCACAAAACTCAAATTCTAAAGAACTTTTTAGTATACTTCTGTATATTGCCCAGAAGTACTGTACACAAACGGAAAGGAATACACTCAAAAATCAGATATTATTCTTTTTTTCACTTTGGAAATTAGCGAATAAGTAATAATTTCTTAATAGCCTAAATTACTTAATTTTTGCCGAATTAAATTGAGGTAAGTTTGATTTGTATTAGCAGCTACTTTTTTTGGTGTTAAAATTGGCAAAGCACTAGGAATGTTATCATATCCATAAAATCTGGCTATTTCTTCTATTAAATCTTCTCTATCTTTAATATCTAAACGATAGTTAGGAATATTAACTTTTTAGGTAATATTCATAATAAATATATGTTTGTTTCTCCTTTTACATTTATAAAAAGAAAAATTATTATCATTTTTATATGCTTTTTGGAACAATTATGTCAGAAGTTTTTACTGAATATCTTTCATATCATGATATTCCGCACGACAAAGATCTAGCAACATGTATTTGTCTAGATTACAGGCCTACAATTAAATGCGAAGTTCCTAAATTAATTTGAAACTGAGGAGAGTGTGGCGGCTTAGTGAAGTGGTCTAGTTGTCACCCCACCAAGTAGCAGGTTGAGAGTTCAAATCTTACAGATGACGATTTTTGAATTTAATCCTGTGTTATGATTACTATCGTCCGCATCGGGGAAAAATGCCTGTAACCTGTTGGCGTACCAAGGATCAGCAATAAACTGGAACTTGGAAGATTTGGAGCATTGTACAACCCTGTAGGCCAGGGAAGTACAAGGAATGCTAACCAGTTAAATGCAGTGCAAACCCATGATAAGTCCAACAGATCAATGCATATGGGAATGATTATCGGATGATGGAAGTCTGCTTGGAAAGTCCCGAATATGGTATTCATAGCTAGGACTACTTAGTTTCGGCT